GCAAATTGTTTTGGAGTGGAACGTTAAAACGGAAAATTACTCGACAGCAGTTTTTTTTTTTTTGCCTCCTTCCCCCCCCCCCCCCCCCCACATGCACACTTCCACATAGAAAGCTTGTTTCCAGTCTCAGATAAGAAGATGAATTGCTCTTCGCGCTTTGAAGCACGTCAGGATTTAAAGACTCCAGCCTAGCTGTGGTCTACGTCTGCTGCTCTTTCTGGCTTTGTCAAAAAAAAAAAAATGATGGTGAGTGGGGAGGGGCATTTCAAAACAACATAGAATCTACGCTTCCAAATGTCGGAGCCGCCCGCCGAGTTGTAAAAATATATATTGAAACGCACTCAGCAAGCAAATTCCATTCACTGTTGTTTATTATTCCCACACTTGTTTGTTGCGTTGGTTCTAAACTGGATCTTAATTTCTCAACACGGCAAAGCAAAAGATCCGCAGGGGGGTTTTGGTCTTAGACGTTGAAAGTCCAAATGACACTTTCGGCAGTTTTCCAAAATTCTTTTGAAAACAGAGCAGGGCTTCCTCCCACCGCGGAGCCTTATCAGAGGCGAAGAGCGTCAGAGAGCCAGATGGGTTTTGCGGACACCGTTCAGCCAGAACTCGAGCGCGTCGGAGAATGCGGCTCTCTCATGCTTGGCCAACAGCTCTTGACTCTAGGCCACAATTCAATTCTGTCTTTGAGAAATCATTTTCAAAGCATTTCTCTGTATTGAGGAGAGAGCCTATAGAGGTCAATTGATGGCAGCACCTTCATTTCGTATTGTGGTATTGCGTCGGTGGCGGGAACCTGTTTGGAAAATTATGGTGTAATTTTGTTCTTTTATTCCATGCAGGTCCTTTTGTACCTAGAAGGGCCGTTCGTACTGTATAATGACTGTTGATTTATTGATTTTAACAGTGGCGGGCAACCAAGAAAGAATTTATTCTATAGATTTTTTTTTGTGTGTACAAATCTATTTGACTCTCGAGTCTCGCTTTTGTCATTAGTCTATTAAGATTATGCTGCTGGATGCTGTCTGAATGCATTTTCAGTCACTATCGCCCCCTACTCATCAGACACTACTAGCCTAACTTAACTAGTATTTTTGGTATCTTGATAGTAGCTCATTGTTTTTGTTATTTTTGCATAAATCAGTCACCCACATGTTGTTTTAAATCTGTATGTCTTTCTTTCTTCAGTGGAACACAACATAACAGAACATTGATGCTGCTCCAATGAAAGTGAATGGTGACCAGGGGTTGTCAAGGTCCAAAAATCTTCTGAAGTCATATGATAGATTATGATAATTGTCTCCACTGCAGATCACAACACACCAAATTTGAATATATGCATATTCAAATATAGAAATAAGATTTGAGAGCTACAATGAAAAAGAATATTTTCAGACAATCTATGCACGGCTTTAGAAAATCTAGGGCATGTTGTTGTATGGAATACCTTTATAGATTTATTTATTTATTTATCGAGTATGAAAGCCCCTGGTCACCATTCACATCGGAAATGAGCAGCATGAACATTCTGCCAGGGGGAAGTTTCATGAAACTGACATAACTTTCATTTTGGGTAAACTATCATTATACCTAATCATACAGTAATATCTCCCCTTTTCTTCTTTATTCTGTCTTCCAGAGCCAGCTGAGGAGGAGGAAATGTTATCTGCTAATCGCTGGAGTGCTGCTTCTTACTTTGCTTATCATCATTATTGCAGTCTCAGCCAGAAAATGAGAGCAAGACCACAGGTGAGCTACATCTGGTGTGCCCAGCCTGTAATAAAAATAACAACATCAAAAAGAAAGTGAGAAAAAATACTGTAGGGACAACACAAATCAACAGTAATTATAACATTATTTTTAAGCAAATGTATAAAATATATGTGTGAAAATTATATTATTATTTATTCCTATCTTAATAATAATTATAGTTATTAAAATAATTATTATTAAACATTTTTGCCAGGTTTTTGAAGAGAAAGTTCTTTATTTGAAACTTATATATATTTGAAACTTGATATATATAAAAAAAATCTTTCACTTTTGTCTAAATTAATGTGTCATTTTATTTAAATATAGAGTACTTGTCAAATTTTTGGAAACATTATGATTTTTTTTTTTTTTTTTATGTTTTAATGAAGTCTTTTATTCTCACCAAATCTACATTTATTTGATCCATTTATTCTGAAGGATCATGATGACGACTGGAGTAATAATGCTGACAATGCAGCTTTGTATCACAGGAATAAATTACATTTAAAAATACATTACAGTAGACAATAGTTATTTTAAATTGTAATACTATTACTGTTTTTACTGTATATTTGAGCACACAAATTCAGCCTTGGTGAGCATAAGAGACATATTTCAATTCATATTTCAAAAACATAAAAAATAACTAATTATTACAAACTTTTGACCGGTAGTGTAGATATATAAAACATGTAAATACATAATTTAATACAATATAGATTTTTTAAAAACATTTGCTTCACTTTTATTGATTGATTGGATTGAATTTCGACTAAAGCAGGTCACCAATTGCCCTTTGTTTTAAACTTTCAGAAAAAAAAGGTGTCAAAACGATCTTGCTTACCTAATTGGTTCTTGACATTTGTGTAACCCGAACGGGCGTATCAGGATGCTATTTTTCACCACGAAACGCCAATGCAGTGAAAGCTCTTCAGACTAATATTTCACCCATGGGCAGCCTCTCTGAGGGGAGTGGGATTTTATCAGTTAGATGGATTACCTCCTCATTCATCTCTGAAAGGCCAACTGACAATTACACTCTTATGTTATTCATTTATCCTCACAATCTACTTTTATTCGTTCATTGACTCATTCATTAGTTCATTGGTTTTTCTCATTCATCTATCTGTGAGGAGGAAGAGTGTTGGAAACTTGGTGAGGACTGACTCCATTTCCATGAGATGTTTATCTATGTGTTCGATCTCTCGCGGCCTCCCTCGGGGAGACGAGGCTGAGTGACAGCCTGGACTCCCTCTCGTATCGATCCGTACCCTCTCCGCTCTCCCGCTTTTCCTCTGGCAACACGCACACACCTTTTAAGCGGCATGTGTGAAACTGAAAGCAGATATCATCTTTAATTAAGTAGCTCTTAACTCGCATTTGTGAAATAGAGTGAAACAGGGAGCATAAGTTGTTTGAACTTTGGTGCTAAGATCTCATCTTTTACCAAGCGCTTGAGCAAATAAGAACAGTTGAGAGATTTCGTCACTAAAAAAATCACTCAACTCAAACACGCTCTGCTATATGCACTGTTCACAAATGGAGAACTCTTAAGTACTAATTGATGTAGAGATTTCAATATTCCATCGCTTCTGTTTTGACCTACAACTGTCTCATTTATGCGGTTATTATGTCTTTTCTAAATGAAATGCTAGATGTTCACTTAATTTCAGAAGAAACTGTAATGGGTGGCTTTCTGTGCTGAAGGTGCTGCCATGTTATGTGGTTGCTATGATGTTCTGAGTGGTTGCTAGGTGGTTGTTCTCATTTCTGCATAACTTGGGTCCCTTTTTTTTATAAGGATAGTTCACCCAAAAATCACATGCTGTTCCATACCTGTATAAAGGCCTTTCATACATTTGTTATTTTAGTATCAATGAGATACTATTATAGTTATATAGTAGTTATAGTTATATAGTTAAATATAGTTATATAGTTATATATTTTTTAATTATTATTTATTTTAGTTGTAGTTTTGATAAAAGTTAAAAAAATAAAATATCAATAAAGTTTTAATAATCATTCTAGTTCTATGAGAATAGGAAGTCCATACTAAAATACATTATTACTATAATGATAACAACACTTTCAGAATCAGTGGAATCACTATCAGAACATGTTTTTAAGTTGATAAACAATATAAACATTGACAATCAGAATCTATCAGACTTTCAAGAGCCTTAGCATTGGAAGCAGCAGATGACATAACTGCAGTTCACACTAATAAACAGAACATTATCATGCGTTGGTGTAGACGCTTAACTTTTTTATATATGTGTGTGTGTGTGTGTGTGTGTGTGTGTGTGTATATATCTTTAAATTTTCTAGTGGTTTATTTAAATTATTTATTTAGTTATTGCTGTGGTTTTTTATATTTATTTTTCTAATGGTTTAAATTATTAATTTAATATTACTTATTAATTAATTATTAATATTAATTATTTGTTATTTATTTTATTTTATTGCATTATTTATTATTGATTTTTCGTTATTTTTGGTTAGTTAGTTATTTAGTTAGTTAGTTAGTCACATTCCCTCAAAAGAATCAGTGGCCAGTTGCATTTAAACTTCATAAATCAGTTACATAAAAAGATAGATTGGTCTAATTTAAATCCCAAAAGTAACTAGTTTCTTTTTGTTTGTCAGACTATTCCTGAAGATACAGCTTTAAAATAGTCTCTACGTTTATGAAACTGCTCATCAAAGGTCCACAGGAGATGTATTTGATTATAAATATTTATGTCAGGTGTAAGCAGAAATAAATTTTGAACTTATAATCTGATCACCAAAACTGGATGTTAAACCAGGTGTACACACGGCCTTAGATGTTTAGAAAAAGTTATATGTGACAAACGTGGGCGGAGATCCTTCACAAAAGCAAAAGTGCAAAGGATTATTGGAAATGTGCTGGACTGATGTGGTTGGAAACAGACAGGGTGGCAGAGGGAAGAGCATAGTGCATAATATATCAGTTTAATGATTCAGCAATGACAGAACTAACCGGTGAGCCGCTTTGCCTCTCAAATCAATAGCCCTGTGCTTTATGGTGCTCTAAATAACACAATAACTGCTCCTTGACACTTATTCCTGCGAGTTGTGTTGCCAGTGCTGCCCTCACATCTTGTTTACAGACTCATTTGGGTGAAAGAGATCCTTCAATATGCATGTCAGCGGCGTGAGCTAACTACAGCTGATCCTTCTGCTCTGAGCTGGTGAAATTGAGAGCAATTTGAGAGCGGCCCCAACTTATTGAGTCACCAATTGCTTAAAATGAACCCTCAACAGCATGACAACAGACTATTACTGCATTTTAATGTTGTGACCGTTATGCATTATCATATAGTAGAATCATTTAAATGCCAATCTGTCAACAGGTTTAACAAGGAATGTTTCAGACCCCAGTGGTGTCTGGATCCCTGAAGTACATCACCTCTTATCTCACATCAGCAAATGTCTAAATACAATGTGATTTTTTTGACAGGTGATTTTTTTTCATTTTATTTAGTAAACAGTCACTTTACTTGTGCTGGTGGGTGACTGAATAGAAATATGTTTTAAATGTTTTTCTTTTTTTTTTATTGTTCCTGTTCTTTTTAACTATTTATTCATCAAAGAATCCTCAAAAAAGTTTCCAACATTGATAATAATCAGCATATTGTTAATAAATCTGAATGATTTCTGAAGGATCATGCGACACTGAAGACTGGAGTAATGGATGATGAAAATTCAGCTTTGCATCACATTAATACATTATATTTTACAGTATATTAAAATTGTAATAGTATTTCACAATATTACAGTTTTTTCTGTATTTCTGATTAAATAAATGCATCCTTGATGAGCAGAAGAAACATCTTTAAAAACATTAAAAATCTTACAGATTTTTTATGTATATATAACTCGTTTTTTTTCAAGAATTCATTCAATCAAAAGTGACAAAGACTTTTACATAGTTACATAAAATGTATGTTTCAAATAAATTATGTTCTTTTGCCATTTCTATTTATCAAAGAAAAATGTCCTGGTTTCCACAAAAATATTAAGCAGTACAATTTTTGTAGCTTTGATAATAATAAGAAATGTTACTTGAGCATCAAATTGTAATGATTTCTGAAAGATTACGTAACACTGAAGACTGGAGTAATGAATATATATATATATATATATATATATACCTGTATGTATGTATGTATATATATGACAACACAAGACAGTTAATTTAAATGCTAATAATTCACAATATTACAGTTTTTACTGTATTTTTGATCAAATAAATTACTTCAAAAAGACTTCAAAAACATTTAAAAAATCTTTCCAACCCCAAACTTATGAATGATAGTGTAGATTTTAGCAACTTACTTTTTAAGAAATGCTTAAACTAGAGAATTCATGCTTGAAGTGTTCACTGTGTATAATTTCTCACAATTTTCTCACATCACAAAGTAATAAAATAATCCTGATTTTACTGATACACCACTACTTAAAAAAAAAACTCATAGCCTGAAATTACTAACTTTCTTCTGGGTTTTATAGGACTACAAATCTGAACAGCTCTATTAAGTCAATTTCTGAAGCTGTTTTCCTCTTGGAATCTCAATGTAGGTTTTTTAAAGGTTTTCTGTCTTTATAGGTACATTTGGCAGAGCAAAATATAACAAAAATCTGACTAGACTAGAAATAAAACAGATCAATCCCATTGTGTTGCTTACAGTTTTATTGCTGGTATATTGCCATAGATTAAATGTCAGAACAATATCAAAATAATATAGTAGCTTTCCTCAAATTGGCTTCTTTGTATTTATATGAATAACATCATTCTGCACATTGTATGATCAGCTTAAGTTTTTTATGATGATTTATGGGTCACCATACTTGGCCACACGTCACATCACTTTCATTTTTCAGCACATCAAAAAACAGTGTTTTGTGACTATGATTGTGTAAGTTTGAAAAAAAAAAAAAAAACATGTAAATATACATTCTGCAATGCAACTGTG